CATGGCGTTGGACGCGACGACGCTCAAGAACCTCGAGGTCCTCGGGTCCGCGGCGGCCGACGGCCGCGCCGGGTCGCTCTGGCAGCTCGTGGACCACTGCAAGACGCCCTTCGGCCGGCGGCTGCTGCGCGAGTGGCTCGCGCGGCCCCTCGTGGACGCGCGGGACGTCGCGGACCGCACGGACGCGGTCGCGGAGTTGGTGGAGGACCGGGCGCTCGCGGACGCGCTCCGGTCCAAGCTCGCGCGGCTGCCGGACCTCGAGCGCCTCCTCCAGCAGCTCCACACGCTCGGCGCGGCGCGGCGCGCCGTCGCCGCCGGCGACGACGACGACCTCGCGCAGCACCCGGACGCGCGCGCCGTGCTCTTTGACGCGAAGAAGTTCGACGCGCGCAAGGTCAAGCAGCTCGCGGACGCGCTCCAGGCCCTGGGCCGCTGCGCGGCGCTGGCCGAGGGCGCCGACGTGACCGCGCCGCTCCTCGCCGCGTGCCTCGGTCCTGCCGGCGCGGGCGGCTGCTTCCCGGACCTGAACGCGAAGCTCGCGGCGTTCGACTCCTTCGATCTCGCCGAGGCGAAGCGCACGGGCGAGCTCGCGGCCGTGCGGGGCGTCGACGACGCCTACGACGCGGCCCTGGACGACAAGGCCGCGCGCGTCCGCGACCTCGACGACTGGCTCAAGGACGCGAAGCGCGAGCACCGGTGCCCGGACCTCAAGTACAAGACGAGCGCCAAGGACCGCTACTGCGTCGAGGTGCCCGAGCAATTCTTCGCCCGGGACCGCGCCTTCGAGCACCTGCCCGCGGGCTGGACGCAGCGCACGAAAACCAAGAAGTGCCGGTCGTTCCTCGCGCCCGACGTCGCCGAGCTCGTCGAAGCGCTCGAGGACGCGGAGAAGCGCGCGGCCGCGGCCAAGGTCGACCAGATGCGGAGCCTCTTCGCGGCCTTCGACAAGGAGCGGGACCGCTGGGCCGCCGCCGTCGCCTGCGTGGGCACGCTCGACGCCCTGCTCGCGCTCGCGCACGTGAGCCGGCGGCCGGGCTTCGCGCGCGCGGTCCTCGAGGACGGCGCCGAGCCCTTCGTCGCCATCGACGACGGCGCCCACCCCTGCCTCGCGGGCGACGGCGCGTCGGCCGGCGACGTCATCGCCAACGACGTCCACGTCGGCGGCGCCAAGCCGCGCATGCTGCTGCTGTCGGGGCCCAACATGGGCGGCAAGTCGACGCTGCTCCGCCACGTCTGCGTCGGAGCAGGAAAATGTTGATTCAACGTCGCTTCAACGTGAGGCTTCCGCGCGCGATTGTTCCAGAGAACGGATCCACGCGTCGAGAGCGCTCCGAGAGATAATCGCTCGTCCAAGAATGAGCCGAAACGAGTGGAACATGACCGAGATAGGAGCCTTTGAAGTTGGGAATTTCGCACTCTTTTCCTGCCCAGGTCTGCGTCTCCGCGATCCTCGCGCAGGCGGGCTGCTTCGTCAAGGCCAGGGCCATGCGCCTGAGCCCCGTGGACCGCGTCTTCACGCGCCTCGGCGCGTCGGACCGCATCCTCATGGGCCAGTCGACGTTCATGGTCGAGCTCCTCGAGACGGCCGCGATCCTCAAGCAGGCGTCGGCCAAGTCGCTCGTCATCCTCGACGAGCTCGGCCGGGGCACGGCGACCTGGGACGGCGCGGCCATCGCCCACGCCGTCGTCCACCACCTCGTCGCGAACTCCAAGTGCCGCGCCCTATTCGCGACGCACTACCACGACCTCGTCGCGTCCTGGGCGGGCCACTCCGACGTCCAGCTCGGCCACATGGACTGCCTCGTCGACCCGGAGTCCGACACCGTCGTCTTCCTCTACAAGCTCACCGACGGCTGCTCCCCCAAGTCCTTCGGCATCAACGTCGCCAAGCTCGCGAAGCTCCCCAAGAAGGTCCTCGACCGCGCCGCGGCCAAGAGCGCCGAGTTCGAGGCCAAGCTCAAGGCCAAGTCCCAAGCCAAGTGAGGGGGCGTCCGCGCCCCCGACGTAAGAAGACGCGGTCCCTAAGTTGCGCCTCGGGATCGCTTGAGCATCCCTAGGGGCCGGGTGCCTGTTACTCGTACCCCGGCGAGACTCGCCGAGAACCCCTAACTCCTCTCTGTGAGGCTGATGGGCTGCGCGATGGGGCGCGTCCTCCCGCATGGGTGACGCGCTCGAGCGCATCGTGCGCGAGTGCGCGGCGCAGGCCGCGCGCTCCGGGCGGCGGGTGACGCTGCGCGTGACGATCCGCGGGGCGGACGTCGGCGCGGCGGTGGAGTTCGAGACGGTGACGGTTGACGAGCGGGTCGGGGCTGCGCGGTGCGCGGCTGCTGCGCAGTGCGCGGCGCCCGACGCCGCCGACGGCGATTTCAGCGTGCGCGTGGACGTGCGCGCGGCTGGCGACGACGCCGGCGCGCATGGTGTGCGCGCGGGCAAGTTTTGCCGTTTTAACGAATGGGCGCGGCCAGGTCGGCTGCCCCAGCGCCGCGCGCGCGGGAAGCGCCGGAAGCGCAGCGGTGCGGCGGAGGAGCGCCGCAAGCGCGTGTGGTTCGAGCGGTCCTGCCGCCGGACGCGCGCGAGCAACTTGATCGTCGCCGCGGTACGGCGGCGCGCGGCGCAGCTGCTGGTGGCAGCGCGCGAGACGGACGATGGCTGCGCCGGCGGCGCGGCCTGGCGGCGCGACGGCGGGCGGCTGTCGCGGGTCGAGGCGACGACGACGACGACGATGATGACGACGGACGAGAACGAGGACGATCCCGTGATGTGCAGCGAACTAAAAACCCAAAACACCGACAAGCTCTGCACGGGCAAGCTCTCCGCCGAGGACGAAGTCAACATGGTCGCGGTCGAGGAGACGGACGAGGAGGCGATGACGACGACGGCTACGACGATGACGACGAAGACGACGGACGAGAACGAGGACGACCCCGTGATGTGCAGCGAACTAAAAACCCAAAACACGGACAAGCTCTGCACGGGCAAGCTCTCCGCCGAGGACAAAGTCAACATGGTCGCGGTCGAGGAGACGGACGAGGGCGGCCACCTGGACAGCGGCAACTGCGGCGAGGGCGGCGAGGCGTACGCGACGGCGACGGCGGCGACGGCGACGACGGTGGATGACTGCAGCGCCGACGGCGGTGTGGGCGCGGCCCTGGCCTACGGCGACGACAGCGGCCACTTGGACAGCGGCAACTGCGACGACGACGGCGGCGAGGCGAACGCGACGGCGAGCGGCAGCTTCGCCTACTACCGCGACGAGGTGAACCTGGTGATTGATTGTTCCGGCAAGGTGAACCCGACGGCGTCCTGGTCCTTCGAGATGCGCTACGCCCTGGCCGACGCGGTCGCGGGGTTGCCCGAGTGCGTTGGAAGCACCATGGAGGTCGTGCACATCATCTACGGGTCGTCGCGCGTGCTCAGCAAAGGCAAACACACGGTCGACTTCGCTATGCTCAGTGACGGCGTCTGCGCGCAGCTCCAGGCCTTCGTCAACTTGAAGAGCAACTTGAATGTTTCGGGAAAGAAGAAGAAGAAAAAGAAAGGGAAAAAGGAGAGTGAGAAGGAAAGCAAAATCGAGAAGGAAAGTGACGACGAGCGGATGTGCAGCGACTTGAAAAAAAAACAAAAACTACTAGCTCTGCCGCTCGTCGAAAATTCGGACGCGAATACTGCACCCCTGATGTGCTCCTCCAAGACCAACCTACGCTGCGACGGTTAGCTCAGCTAGCTCGGTTCGCCTAGGTACCCCCCTAGCCCCCCTGGATAAGCAACACTCGCCGAGAACCGAGGGATCGTTCGACGTGACCACACCGCGAGCATCATGACCTCGATCCAGCAGCGCGTCGATACCATCTTCGACGGGTATGGCGGCACGTTGGTGACACGCCTCGTCCGCACCATCGGCGTGAAGGAGGACAAGGCGAAGAAGGTCCTGCGCGCCTACAAGCAGTTCTTGGTGCTCAAGGCCGAGGGCGACGACTTCGACGCCACGAAGCTGTCACCGCCGCCGCTCGTCGACGAGATGTGGCATTTGCATGTCCTCGATACCAAGCGCTACCAGAACCAGTGCCTCGGGGCCTTCGGCCGCGTCATCCACCACGACCCCGACGGTGGCGCCGACGCCGTCGCGCGCGCCACGCGCATCGGCTCGACGCACCTGGCGCTCACAAAACGCTTTGGCAACTCGTTTAGCAAGCGCATCTGGTGCTGGACGGAGCCGCCGCCGTCCAAGGACCCCGTCGAATCGCCCACTGAGAAGGTCGCGGTCGTCGTCGGTGATCCGCTGCACATTCGCCTCCGGGACCAGACCGGCGCAGAGACGAACTACAAGATCAAGACGACGACGAACCTCGACAAGCTCTTCAACGCGTACGCCAAGCGCAAGGGCGTCAACGCTACGTCGCTGCGGTTTTATGTCGACGGGCGGCGCGTCGGCTACGGCCGCGAAGAGACGCCCGAAACCATCCTCATGGAGAACGGCGTCCTGGTCACCGACCAGATTGATGTCATGCTCGAGCAACAGGGCTGCTGAGGAGACGACGCGCCTAGCCCACACAAGAGTAAAGGCGAACACCGAATCCGCACTAATGCGGCCGGCTTACGTCGCCTCTTTCGCGTAGGTCTCGCTCCGTCGTTGCTTCTTCGTGATGGGGTCGAAGAAGGTGCCGTCGCGCTTCGCGAGGCCCCGCCCTCCATATTCCTCGGCCAACATGTCCTCGCCGATGGCGGCCTTGAGCACGGGCACGTAGTCCTCGGGCCCGTCGAGGATGTGGATCTTCGCGCGCGTCTTCTCGTCGACGAGGCCGCGGATGAGCCTCCAGCCCCGGGCGAAGACCTTGCCGGCGTTGAGGATGTAGAGCGCCCCGAGCCGCTCCGGGTAGTGCGCCTCGTCGAGGCGGACCATCGCGCGCGTGATGCGCACGCCGTCGCGCGACGGGAGCCCCCAGGCCCAGCGCAGGCGCAGCGCGTCGAGCACGACGACGACCTGCTCGACGGACCGCTCGCGGGACGCGTTGCCCAGCGCGACGTGGAACGCGCGGTCCTGCGCGTACGTGAGGTACGCGCAGAGCGTCGCCGGCGTCGCGCCGTGCCTCGCCACGAGCTCGTCGAGGCGCCACGACGCGAAGGGCTTGTAGAAGACGGGCCGGCCCTGCGTGTCCGTGCCCTCGATCCACATGGGGAAGAGGCGCGCGAGCGCGTCCGTGCTCCGGCTCGCGTCGCATAGGCCCGCGACGGCCTCGGGCTCCGCGGCGCGGAGCGCCTCGAGCTGGCAGACGTCCGCGCGCCAGGCCACGTCGGCCGCGAGCATGGCGGCGGCGCGGTCCACGGAGAACTTGCGCGCGCGGAGGAACCGGAGCGCGAGCTGCTCGACGGTCTCGCCCCGCGGCGCGACGTGCCGCGCGAGGTCGAGGCCCCGGCACCGCTCGAGGAGCCGCGCGAGCGCGTCTGCTTGTGATTTGTCGAGGCACCCCACGTAGCCCGGCGCGCGCTCGAGGCCCGAGGCCTCGTGGTAGGGCAGGCGCCCGGCGACGACGAGCTCCGCGCGCTCCGGCGCCGGCGCCGGCGCCGCGTCGGCGCGCTTGCCCGAAAGGAAGCCGCGCTTGCCCGTCGCGCGCGCGAGGCCCTTGCGCACGCGGCGCAGCGGCGTCGCGCGCCGCTCGGGCGGCGCGCCGCCCGCCCGGTCCGGCGCCGCGGCGGCCGGCTCGGCGGCGGCGACGGGCCGCGCGGCGGCGGCGTAGTCCGCGTCGTCGCCGGCCGCCGCGGGCCGGCGCGCGACGACGCCAGCGGCGGCGGCGAGGACGGCGGCCGCGGCGGCGGCGCCCCAGAGTTCGATGCTCCAGGACGCGGTCGCGCGCCGCAGCAGGCCGAAGGCCGCCGCGATCTCGCGCTCAAAGTTGCCCAGCACCCAGAAAACGAGGTCCACGGGGCGCACGTCCAAGAACTCGCGCAATTGTTTCAGCGGCCAGATCATGGCGAGACTGTCGAGCGATGCTTGCTATGGCTTCGCGTGCGCCATCATGGAAGCCATCGGAAATAAAGCAGTTTCAGTCGTCGAGCCCGCAAGGTCGGCTTGTGGAGCAAAGGACGGCGTGGCTGCGCGCCAAGATGGGTGGAATCCTGCTCGCCGCGCTGCTGGCGTGCGCGTCGCTCGCCGAGGGCCGCATGGTCGAGGTGACGACGCGCAACTTCGACGCGGAGACGTCGAAGCCGAACCTGCTGCTCGTCTTTTACGCGCCTTGGTGCGGCCACTGCAAGCGCCTCGAGCCCGTGCTCCAGCAGCTCGCGTCCGCCGACGACCCGGGGTACCGCGTCGGCCGGTGCGACGGCACGGAGCACCGCGTCCTCACGCAGCGCTTCGGCGTCCGCGGCTTCCCGTCGCTCTTCTACGTGCGGTCGCGAGCCGAGGTCATCCCCTACGACGGCGCGCGCGGCGCCAAGGACATCGACCACTTCCTGCGGAAGGGCTACGCGGGCGAGGCCCGGCTCGGGCTCATGAAGTCCCCCTTCGGCCCCCTCGGCCGGCTCAAGGGGCTCTGCGTCGCCGCGGGCCTCTACGCGGTCGACCTCCACGCGAAGCTCGCGGTCACCGTCGGCGACTACCCGGCCATGATGGCCGTCGCCTGCATGGGCATCGTCGCCCTCATCGTCGTCCTCATCCTGCCGCTGCTCTTCCTCGCGTGACGCGCGCGCGGTAAGCCATGGTGCCGTGTATGTTGCCTTTCAACTTGAAGCAGTGCCGGGCAGAATCAGAGGGAGCATGGGCTTGGTCGGCCAGAGCTTGGCGCCGCGCCGTCGCGCGCTCGTCGCGGCCGCCGTCGCCCTCATCACGTCGACGGCCCTCCAGCCAGTGGCACCACAACTCCGACCGCCGACGCGGCGCGGCGCCCACCCCCTCGACGGCCACGTGCCGCTCGAAGACGCCTACCCCGGCCTGCGCTTTTTGCACCGGTCGCCGGACGTCGCGGTCATCGACGGCTTCCTGAGCGGCGCCGAGTGCGACGCGCTCGTCGCCATCGGCCGCGCGAAGCAGCTCGAGCGGTCGCCCGTCGCCTACGCGGGCTGGAGCGACGACGTCGCGGAGCTCACCCAAACCTGGGCGTCCGGCCCCGCGGCCTGGGTCGCGCTCGCGGCCATCCTCGCCAAGGCGAACCTCTACGGCGTCACGGACCGCGTCGACCTCGCGCTCACGGCCGCGGGCGTCTACGCGTTGAACGTCGTCCTCGCCGCGGCCGCGGCGCTCGCGTTCGCGAAGCGGCGCGAGGCGGGCCTCTCCGCGCTCCGCACGTCCAAGTCCGTCGCGCTGCGCGGCGACAAACCCGGCGCCGCCGAGGTCGCGACGTTCAGCCGGCTCCTGGACGTGCTGCCGTCGGCGGCGCCCGAACAGATGGAGGCGCTGACCCTGATCCGCTACGACGACGGCGACCGACTCGCCCCCCACTACGACGCGAACCGCGCGGCGGCCGCCGAGGACGCGACGCGCGGCGGCCAGACGCTCTGCACGCTGCTCGTCTACCTGAACGACGTCGCCGCGGGCGGGCGGACGACCTTCGGCAAGCTCGGGCTCCACGTCGAGCCCAAGCGCGGCGACGCGTGCGTCTTCTTCCCCGCGGACGCGTCCGGCGCCTTCGACGACCGGCTCGAGCACGAGGGCGAGACGGCGCAGTGTGAGAAATGGATCGGCCGCGTCTGGGTCCACGCGGACCCGATCCTGGGGCCCACGGGCGTCGACGGGCCCACGCGCGCGGCCGTGCTCGCGGCGCGCGCGGCGAAACACTAAAAACCCCTAAATAATTCGTTAACGACCCCCCGCCTAGGACAGGTCGACGACCTTGGGCTTGAAGGGCGGCTCGATGCCCTTGATGGCCATCTTCGAGAAGGAGAGGCCGTGGAAGAGGGGGCTCGCCATGACGTCGGCGGCGCCGGCCTTGCCGTAGCCGAGCCGCGTCTTCGCCTCCTTGCGCAGCAATTGGGTCACGGTCGCCAGCAGCGCCTTGGACGTGCGCTTCTCGTTCGTCGGCGGCGGGCTCTTCAGGATCCAGGAGAACATCTGCCGCGGGTTCTCGTGGTGGAACGGCGTCTTCCCGACGACCATCTGGAAGAGGAGGATGCCGAAGGCCCACCAGTCGACCATGAAGCCGTAGGGCTGGCCCCGGAGCAGCTCCGGCGCGACGCACTCGATCGTGCCGCAGAACGTGCGGAGCCGCTCCTCGCAGAACTCGACCTTGGTCTTCGCGAAGCCCATGTCCGCGACGACGACGTGGCCGTCGCTCTGCATGAGCATGTTCTCCAGTTTCACGTCGCGGTGGCAGACGCCCTGCTCGTGCATGTGCTTGATCGCGAGCAGGATCTCGACGCCGTGGTACCGCGCGCGCTTCTCCGCGAAGCACCTATTCTTCGCGCACGAGAGCTGGTCCTCGAGGCTGCCGCCCGCGTAGTAGTCCGTGACGATGTAGCGGCTCGACTCGTCCTGGAAGGCGAAGCGGCAGTGGAGCGTGAAGGGGCTGCCCCGGCAGAGCGAGAGGACCTGGCGCTCCTTCTTCGCGCGCGCCTCGACGTTCGCGCCGCTCTTGTCCACGCGCTTGATCGCGAAGAGGCGGCCCCGGTGGGGCTCGGCGATCTTCCGCGCGAGGTGCACCGTGGAGAAGGCGCCGCGGCCGATCTCCGCGGAGCAGTCGAACATGTCGATGGTGATCGCGTCCTCCTTCCGTTTCTCGTCCCTCTCGGCCTTTTTGGCCGCGGCGTTCGGCGCCGCGAGGAAGAAGTTTTTGAAGCGGACCGACATGCGCGGCGTGCCGCCGGGGCTCCGCCGGTTGTCGTCGGGCGGCGGCGGCGCGTCGCGCGGGGACATGGCGCCGGACGCGGACGCGTACGCGTCGTCTAAACCCTTGGAGACGTCGAAGGCCTCGAAGGTCTCGTGCCAGTCGTCGCGGTAGAAGGGGTCCATGACGGCGCTCGCGCCCGTCTTCGTCAGGACCTCCTCCCAGAGGTTCTCGAGCTCGACGTCCTCCATGTCGCTCTGGACGTCGCCGTGGCAGGCGCACCAGAGGTACTGGCCGATGCCCTGGGGCTGGGCGGCGATGGTTGGCGCCGGCGGCGGCTCCTCCTTCTTCTCCTCCTTGGCGACCCGGCTCTTGCGCTTCGACACCATGGCGGCGCCCGGGCCGACCCGGCGCGGGTGGCAATGCACCGCGCGAAAAGAGTGGCGGCCCCCCGAGCACAAGCCCAGGGCTGGCCTCGGGGTTTCTTCGGGCTCTACGAAACGAGTTGCAGTGCAACGTGAAGTTTCAAACAAAAGAATTAGCCCGCGCCGCCCCGCGCGCGGTCGAGGAGCGCGGAGACGGCGTACACGTCGTCCTTGACGCCGTCGGACCAGTCGAAGACGACGGAGCGGTTCCCGACGAGGCGCACGGCCGTCGGCGCGAGGCCCTCCGAAAAGTCGCGGCCCGCGCGGACGTCGTTGGGCTCGAGGAACGACTCCGTCGCCTCGCCGTCCCGGAAGCTGCGCAGGACGACGCGCCCGAGCTTGCCGTCGTACTTGACGTCGAGGACCGCGTCCCGCCGCGCGTGCATCGAGCCGTAGACCTCGCGGATGACGCGGTCCGCGAGCGACAGGAACACGGGCTCCGGCGCCGCGTCGCCGACGGCGCCCGCCTCGTTCGCCGCCGCGACGGCCGGCGAGATGGGCACGCGGAAGACGCCCTCCGGCGCGACGCCCGCCGCGGCGGCGAGCTCCGCCGCGTGGCCGCCGCCGAACGGTCTGTTCTCCGCGCCGCAGCCCGGGCAGACCGCCACCGCGAGATTCTCGACGACGGCCGCCGTGGGCACGCCCAGCCCCTCCTGGAGCTCGAGCCCCTTGAGCACGTCCACGCGCGCTAATCTGCTCGGCGTCGTCACGACGACGGCGGCCTCGACGGCGACGGCCGCGCAGACCCCGAGCGTCACGTCGCCGACGCCCGGCGGCAGGTCCACGACCAGGTAGTCGAGCTCGCCCCAGTCCGTCATCCGGAAGAGCTGCGCGGCGACGCGGCCCGCGAGTGGGCCCCGCAAAGCGGCGCCGGGCTTCGTCGACGGCGCGACGTTCACGAACCCTAACGACGCCACGCGCACGCCGCCGCGGCTCTCCACCGGCAGGGCCAGCCCGCCGCCCGCGGGCGACGCCTCGACGCGCGCGTCCTCGAGGCCCAGGACCGTGGGGGCGGACGGGCCCATGACGTCCGCGTCGACGAGGCCGACCCTCCCGCCCCGCGCGGCGAGCGCGTGCGCGAGGTGCGCCGCGACCGTCGACTTGCCCACGCCGCCCTTGCAGGACGACACGGCGACGCAGCTCCGCACGCCCGCGAGCGCGTCCTCCGGGCCGACCGCGTGCCCGAACCCGGACGCGACCAACCGGATGGCGCAGTCCAAAGCGACGCCGCTCCCCTCGAGCGCGTGTCGCGCGCGCTCCGCGATGTCGTACGCGTGCGGGTGCGCCGCCGTCCGCACGTCGAGCGTGATCGTGAGTGCGTCGTTGGCGGCGGCGACGCTGGCCATGCCCGTGGTCATGATGTCCGCCGGCGCCGCGAGCAGGGGGTCGTCGACGGCGCGCAGCGCCGTTTCCGCGAGCGCGACCTGCTCCGCGGTCGTGAGCCGGCGCCGCGCGCGGCCTGCGACGGCCGACGCCGCGCCGCCGCCGCAGCGCGCGGCCACGGCAGCGGTGCGCAACATTTGCGATCGCAGAATTCGATGGTGGCGACGTTGTTCAATGCCGTCCCGCTAGTCCAACTTTAACGCCTGGCGAGCCTCCGGGCCGCCAGAAGCCCGAGCCCCGCGGCCGGGAGGAAGAGCGCGGCCGGCGGCGTCGCCGCCGCGTCCCGCCGCCGCCGCGGGAGCCCCGCGAGCCGCCGGAGGGTCCGGCGGACCGCGCGGCGCCACGTCTTCCGGTGGACGCCGAGCTCCGGCACGACGTGGTAGGAGTAGCCGAGGTTGAAGACGCAGGTGTGGATGCGCTGGTCCGCGTTGCCGCAGATGACGCGGTCGACGCACGCCTTCCAGTCGTCGCGCTCGATCGCCGCGAGCAATCCGCCGGAGAGCGCGTAGCCCGTGCCGCCGTAGGTCCAGGACCGCGGCACGGAGTAGGCCGCCTCGGCGCCGTTGGACAGGTCCAGCGTGTAGTCGTAGCCCGCGGCGCGGCGCGGGCCCGGCGGCGACGGCTTCACCGCGCAGCAGTCCTTGTGCTTCGTGTGGCCTGGGCAGGACAAGGGTGATTCAACGTCGCTTCAACGTGAGTGTTCCGCGCGCGGGCGTTCCGAAAAAAACATCCACGCTTCGAGACCGTTCCGAGAGATGATCGCTCGTCCAAAAATCAGCCGAAACGAGTGGAAAATGGCCGAGATATGAGCCTTTGAAGTTGGGAATTTCGCTCTCTTGTCCTGCCCCACGTGTGGCCCGCGCAGGTCTCCATGCGCTCGAGGTGCCCCCCGCGGACCTGGAAGAAGCCCGGGTCCGACACGAGCTGGGCGCCGGCGACGTCGACGGCGCAGGCGTTCGCCAGATCGCTGCAGCAGTCGACGGCCGGCCGGGGCCGGTCGCGCGCCGGCTTGCACTTGGGCGTCACCGAGGCCGGCTGGCGCGGGCCGACGCGGCCCGCGAGCACGGGCGTCGTGCGGGGATGTTGCGTCGGCGCGAGGAGCTTCGCGACGCGGCCGAGGTCGAACTTCGTGTCGTCGTCGCCCTGCAGGATCCAGTCGAAGAGCCCCGGCCACGTGTCGTTGGCGAAGAGGATCGCCGCCAGGGGCCGGTGGGCGCCGAGGTACTTGTTCCCGTTCGTGCGGAAGTCGACCATGCGCTCGCCCGGGTCGTCGGGGAAGCCCAGCACGCCCGCGGCCGCGTCGGTACGGTCAGACGCGAAGACGTGGCGCGACCGGCCCAGGTAGTTGGGCGCGAGCCACTTCTGCAGGAACCGCTCGCGCTCGGCCGACGTGAAGCAGTGGAGGATGACGAGCATGCCTCCCTTGGTCCCGCGCTCGGCGAAGCGCTCGCCGAAGAGCGCGGGCCAGGCGGCGACGAGGGCCTCGGGCGTCGGCGGCAGCGCGACGCGCGGGCCGTGGCGGGCCGCGAGGTGCGCGTGGAGCTGGGCCGCGTCCATCTGCGACGGCGCCAGAAGCGGCGCGTCGTCCGCGAGGGCCGACGCGGCGAGCACCGCGGCGAGGCTGCCCCACATCGTCACAAAGGTCGATCGTGCCGCGTCAACTGGATACATACGGAGCGCCGCGCGGCATGGGCAGCAGCACCTAAACTATCATGGCGGCTGCACCGGCGCCGCGGCGGCGGCCGCGGAAGAAGAAGGACAAGGGCCAAACATTCGAGAGCATCAAGCGCGCCGTCGACGCGTTGGGCGTCGAGCTCGAGCAGGTCGCCGCGTCGTCGACGGACTTCGACCTGCGGCGCGCCGTGGGGAAGATGGTCGCGGCGAGCGCGCCGAACCGGCGGCCGCTCGGCGCGCCGGGCGGCCCGCGCGTGCTCGGCGCCGACGAGGCGCGCGCGTGGATGCGGCGCTTCCTGCGCCTGTCGCTGTCGGCCGCGGGCGTCGCCGCGGTCCTCGGCCTGTTGCCCGACTCCGTCGTCTCGGGCGCGGGCCGCCTCTTCGAGGACGGCCCGCGGCGCGTCGACGCGGCGCTCGTCGTGGCGCTCTTCAACACCCTGGGCGAGGTCCAGCGCGAGCGCGTCGCGCGGCGCCGGGGCGGCGCGGAGCCGCGGCCGCGACCCGCGTCGGCGCCCGGCGGCCGCGGCCGGCCCCGGCCCGCGTCGGCGCCGGCGGCGCGGCCCGCGGCCTGGCGGACGACGAATCTGCGGCGCCTCTCGAACCTGCACCGCGGCATCCACGCCGTGCCCGTCGAAACGCGGCGCGACGCGGACATCCGCCGGGAACTCGCGGACGCGAAGCGGTCTTTAGAGCGCCTCGCGCGCGACGCGCGCGCCGCGGCGCCGTCGCCCTACGCGGCGCACGGGGCCGCCATGGGCAAGCTCCTCGCCGCGGCGCTCCACCACGAGCCGGGGTGCCTCGAGGCCTTCCCGCCGGGGCCTTTCGGTCCCGCGGCGTTCGACCACCTCGCGCGGCGCCTCCTCGACGTGAAGCTGGACCGCGCCGAGGCGCGGGCGGCGCTCGCGGCCGTCGCGCCCGAGGGCGCGCCCACGGGCGCGGCGCTCGTGGCGCTCCTCCGCGAGCTCCAGGTCGACGGCCTCCGCGCGTCGCCGCGCGCGCTCCGCGCGTCCGCGCGCGCGGCGACGCGCGCGCTCGCCGACGGCGCGCCGTCGGCCGTGGCGCTCGTCGACGACGTCGCGGCGCTGTGCGAGGAGCTTTTCGGCGCGGCCGCCGCGGGCGACGCGGGCGCCGCGGACCGGCTCCGGCGCCTCGAGCGGTGCGCGTGCGCGTGCGTCGAGGGCGACGTCGACGAGGGCCTGCGCGTGCTCCGGCGCGTCCACGGCGCCGCCGTCGCCGAGAAGGCGCCCAAGCCCCGAAACGGCCGCCGCGCGACGGTGCAGATCCGCGCGCGGCTCGACTCCGCGTCCGCGCTCGACGGCGTCGCGATCTCGCAGATCTTCGCGCCCGAGAAGGACACGCTCGAGCGGCTCCGCGCGGACCTCGCCGGCGCCCACGCGGACCGCGCCAAGGCCTCCGTGCTCGGGCGCCTCGGCGCCGCGGCCGCGAAGAAGGAGCTCAAGGAGCTCGAGGCCGTCCAGGATCGGTGCCGCCGCATGCAGGCGGCCATGCTCGGCAACGAGGTCGGCCTGTGGAAGGAGCGAGACCGCGACGACGCCGCGAGCTTCGGGAGCGGCTCCCTCGTGAAGCTCTCGCAGACTTCCAAGACCGGCGCGACGTACGCGCGCAAGAGCGCCTACGCGGCGCGCACGCCGCTCGCGCGCGCGAAGCGCAAGGCCGCCAAGCTGACGGGCTTCGACGCGCGCATCCAGGGGTCCATCGTCGCGACCATCGCCGCCCAGACGATCCAGCGCGCGGGGCGCAAGTTCCTGTTCCGGCGGCTCCGCGCGCAGATGCAGCGCGCGCAGGACGAGTGGTACCGCCTCCTGGAGGCCAAGGCGCGCAAGGCGCTCGCGCGGGCCATGCGCGCCTACAAGGCGCGGCGCGACCACGCGAAGCGCGTGGGCTCGCTCCAGGGGAAGATGGAGGCGCGCGCGCGCGCGGTCATCGGCCGCTGCATCCTGCGGAAGGTCCGCGAGGACCGGAAGAGGCGGTCCGCGGACCTCGAGGCCGCGCTGGCGGCGGAGGCGGCCGCGCCGCCCGCGCGCCAATTGAGCGACGACGAGGCGGCGATCCACGTGCAGGCGCGGTTCCGCGCCATCGACACGCGCGCGCGGTCGCGGGAGCTCATGGCCTCGCGAGAGGAGACGCGCGCGCTCCGCGTGGAGATCTTGAAGGCCAAGGACCTGCGCGTGGCCGACGCCAAGTGGGGCACGTCGGACCCCGTCTGCTACGTCAGTTTCCGCGGCGTCCGGCATTGCTCGAGGGAGCGTCCGGGAGCTGTTTTGCTTAGGTCACGGCGCGGCTCGGCGACCGGGGGTCCTACGCGCCCAAGGGCTGCGCGCCGCCCGAGGGCTCGTTCCAGAAGACGCTCGACGACTACAAGCTCGTGGAGCAGCGCAACGTCAACTCGCAGCACAAGCACAACGAGCAGACCCAGGCGTACCTCGAGCAGATCCGCGGCAAGAAGCAGGACGAGGGCGAGCGGAGCGAGGAGATGGACCGGCGGCGCGAGCTCGTGCGCAAGCACACGCTCTTCAGCGCGCACCTCGACCGCGCGTTGAAGTTCAAGATGATCGAGGAGAACCAGCCCTTCTGGATGCCGCCCATCGTGCGGAGCCGCGACTTCGACAAGTTCGTCGCGTACCCGCCGAAGTTCCAGTGCTTCTCGCACAAGACGCGCGCGATCGAGAAGACGCTCCACCCCTGCTGGAACGACGCCTGCTTCGTCGCCGGCGTCGACCCGGAGAGTTTACTAGCCTTCACGGTCGTCGACGTGGACCAGGGCGACAACCACGACGATTTTCTAGGCCAGGTCACGGTGCCCATGAAGGTGCTGCGCCACGCGGACTCGCTGGCGGTGCTCGCGGCGGAGCAGCTCCGGCGGGACCGCAAGGCCCAGGGCCTGGACGCGCGCGGCGTGCGCCTCAAGCGGAAGCGCCAGTCGCTGACGATGTTGATGCACGTGGACCGCGACATGGGCCGCGACGTCCACGGCATGATCAAGGTCGACGCGCATCTCCGAGGCGCGCTCCTCGTCCACGACGCCTACAAGACGCTGGGCAAGCAGACCGTGCCCGTCGTCGAGCCGGGCGCGGCGAAGCAGGTCCACCTCGACGACATCCACGTGCCCCCGACGGGCCACGTCTGGTACCGCGTCTGGGCCGCGCCCCGGACGACGTCGGTCTGCGGCTTCGTCGAGATGCGCTGCCTCCGGCGGTCGTTGATCACCTTCTGGAAGCCCGCCTGGGCCTGCCTCGCCTTCGGGCGGTTGCGGGTCTACGACCACCGGGGCGAGGCGGAGCCGAAGCTGGAGATCGACATGGACCACGTGGATCTCGTCGAGGCCCACAAGGACCACGACGAGGGCGACTCCTTCGTGCTCCAGGTCGCCGGCGCGGGGCTCCACCATTTTCGGGTGGCGGACATCGGCCACCCGATCCGCAGCCTCCAGTTCTCGAACTGGGTCCGGCGGCTCCGCCGCGCGGCGCCGCGCATCCCGACGAACGAGTTCGTCGCGTCGGAGGCGTCCTTCGCCGAGTACCTCGGCCACGCGGTCAAGGACCCCGTCACGCGGCCGCGCCGGTCCCAGATCCGCGAGATCCAGAAGCGCCACGACGCCGAGGCCGACGCGTACCGCGAGCACCGCGCGTCCGTCGCCGCCATGCGCGACGCGCCCTTTAATAAGGACTAGGCGGTGGCGCGGGGGCTCCGTCGCGGTACGCGGGACGCAGCCCGAACTCGTGCGGTGTCGGGAACAAATTTTATCGCGGTTTATGTACAGGGCGGGCGATCGCGCCGCGCCGCTCAGACGAGGCGGCCGCCGACGGGGTAGGCGCTGTCGCTGAGGATGCCGCTCGTCCCGCAGGTCGTCATGTTCGCGGGCCCGGCCGCGCAGCCGACGCCGTCGAGGGGCTTCGTGTCGACGCCGCAGTAGGCGTCGAGGTCCGCCGCGTGGCGGCGGAGGCGGATGTAGCCCTTCTCGCCCCAGGTGGGCCCCCAGGAGTTGCGCACGAGCCAGTAGTCCTTGCCCAGAGCCTCGTCCGTGCCGTAGCCGACGAGGACGACGGCGTGGTCGATGACGCTGTCGTAGGTGTCGGTCTCGAAGATTCCGCTCTCGTAGCCGCCCCACGACGCGTCGACGGAGACGGCGACGGGCCCCTTGGTCGCGACGGCGCGCATGAGCGGCGCGTACTCGTTGACGGGCAGCTTCTCGAAGCCCGAGATCGTCGCGACGGGGTGCTGGACGCCGCCCGGGTCCGGGCCCTTGTCCTTGGAAGCTGTTGTGTTCTTAATATAACAATCGCCGTTTTTGCCGTAGTAGGAAGTGTAGCCCATCTGGAACTCCTGGACGACGCCGCCGTTGTCGACGTAGTACTGGAACGCGAGCTCCGACGTCGCGCCCGCGCAGCCGCCCGTGCCGCCGCACTCCTTCGGGTTCGGCATGCACGACACGAGCTCCTGCGGCGACAGCTGGAACAGCGTGCCCGTCTCGATGGCGACGTGCGACTCCATCGTCGCGGTCGACGCGAAGGCCCAGCAGGAGCCGCAGCCGCCCTGGTCCTTGACGCCGCTGACGACGCCCTTGTCGCGCCAGTCGACGGCCTTGGGCAGCGCGGCGACGTCGACGGGCTCGGACGCCGCGAAGCGCCGCGGCGCCGCGGCGCGGAGCCCGCGGTGCAGGCCCTTGGGCGGCGCCTCGTCCGTGAACTTGTTGACGCCCATGACGTAGCTGGCGCCCTTGGCGTTGTGCGCGACGATCGTCTCCAGATTCGCGGCGAAGGTCGCGGCGCGGCGCTCGCGGGCCTCCTTGGGCACGATCTTGTGGAAGTCGGCGACATACTGCTCGTAAGAGTAGTCCATCGTCAGGTCCGGGCCCCGGGGCGGCAGCGCCGCCGCGAAACCGAGGGTGAGGAGCACGAACATGACGCCCAGCTAGTCGATCGAATTGCCACAAAACTTCACCATCGCATGTTGCACTCCCCAAACATCGTCCTCCCACGACCCTTTAGCAGGGCGCGACCCCGTCATCCTCGAGGAAGTCGAGGCTCGACGGGAGGCCCGCGGGCGACACCGCGCGGGGCGCGTCGTCCGCGCCGGGCCAGGAGAAGAGCGCGTAGTCGACCTTCTTCGGCGAGCGCTTCTGCGGCGGCGACGGCTTCGCGAAGGCGCCGGGCAGCTTCGGGAGCGACGTCGACGACGCGAGGGCCGGCGCCTTCTTCCGCCGCGCCTTCGTGCGCACGAGCGCGTGCGCGAGGGGCGCGTCGGGCGTGACGACGGCGCGCGTCGCCTGCCGCGCGCGGAGCGCCGCGGGCGTCGGCGCCGGCGCGTCGCCGGCCTCGGGCGACCGGCGCGGCGCCGCGGCGGCGGGCACCGCGGCGTCGTCGCGCCGCCGCCGCGCGGTCCGCGCGACGGCCGGCTTGCGCTCGTCGTCGCGGCGCCTCGCGCGCGGCGCCTCGCGTTCGGCGCGCGGCTCCGCGCGCTCGACGCCGCGCGGCTCCTTGGCGTCGGCGCGGTTGGACCCGCGCTTCGACGCGGGCCGGTCGCGGAGCGCCGCCGGCTCGCGCCGCGCGGCGGGCGCGTCGTCGCGCCGCGCGGCGGGCGCGTCGTCGCGCCGCGCCGCGGCGGGGTCGCCCCCGCGCCGACCGGGCGAGGGCGCCTCGGCCTCGCCCGGGGCCGGGGACTCGCAGTTCCACCAGACCTCGCCGAGCTCGGTCTTGGGCGCGCGCGCGGGGCTCAGCGCGGCCGCGGCCTCCTCGCCCGTGGGGGACCGCGGCCCGTCCTCGAGGGCGTCGAGGACGAGCTCGTCGCCCTCCCAGTCCTCGACGATGGCCCGCAGGTCCGTGAGCTGGAAGGCCGCCGCCTTGGGGGCGCGTTTCGGCTTTTCCTGGGCGCGCCGCGCCGCGGGCTTGCGCGTCTTCTCGAGCTGCTGGCGCTCGAACTTTTTGTAGTCGACGCCCGAGATCGAGGCGAGCGTCTTCCGCAGGGCCTCGGCCTCGTCGCCCCCGTCCCAGGCCGTTCGCACGTTGGCCGCCAGCTTTCGCTGGGCCATTTTACCGGGCTTTGTCGACGATAACGCTGCCCCTCTCTGTCATGATACGCCAGGGCCAACAGCTCCCACAGCTTCACGTCCAGAATTAAATGCGTCGACTTGCGATTGTCAATGATTCTGGCGCGCCACGGCTGCAAGAATTCTTGCCGAGTTGGGAATCCGGCGGGGGTTTTGTGGTGTTTCGGGTGGTGCGCGTGACGGGCTCCGTCGTCCCCCTCGACCGAGAGGCGCTCCTGCAGGGCACTGGCTTGGCGGCGCGGGGGCGTCGGGCGAGCCGTCGACTATTCCCACCCCGTGAGGCAGCAGATCCCCTGGGCGCGGTCACTGTGGGCGGTGCCCTCCTCAAAAACAGCTGCTACGCGCATTAACTAGGGTAAGCTGTTTCTTGAGATCGGGCCTTCGGCCACGTCTTGCTCAGCCTTCCGCCAGACGGTCCGCCGCGTAAGCGCCGCAGCCTCCCTGCTGTCGCACGCTCGCGGCCACCGACGCGCGCCGCCAACCCCGCGAAGGGGTCGGCACCGCGCGCCGCGGCCATGGAGCCCGCGCGGCACGAGAGAGAGGCGCCGAAATCTGCCGCGCCGCCGTCGAGGCCCGATTCCGACGGCGACACGCCCGGCGAGACCCCGCTCACGCGCCTGCTCGCCCCGCCCGCCGCGCCCCCCCTGGACCTGCTCTACGGCATCATCGGCGGCGAGGCGCGCGCAAGGAAATGCCTCGCCGCTAGGGGCCGCGCGGCCTACCGCGTCCCCGAGCGCGAGGAGGTCGCGGGCTACACGATCCCCATGCTGACGCTCGTCCAGACCTGCCGCGACCCGGCGGCCCACCTGCCCGGCCGCAACCTCGCGGCGCGGAACAAGTTCGGCGTGACGCTGCTCCACAAGAGCCTGCGCTACCCGAACTGGAGCACGTCGTCGTTCATGATGGCGGCCGACGCGAGCCTCGCGCTCTACAAGGACGACCTGGGCCGCATCCCGCTCCACGACGCCTGCTGGAACGAGACGCTGGACTTTGACGTCATCGTCCAGCTCCTCGAGTTCGACTGGACGGCGCTGGTCTGCTACGACGCGCGGGGCCACACGCCGCTCTGCTACGCGCCGCGGTGCTCCTGGGCCGCCTGGGCCGCCTTCTTCGAGGCCCAGCGCGACCGCATCGTCGCCGAGTTCGCCGACCCCGGCGACGCGCCACCGCGGGCGCCGGAGCGGCCCACGCAGCCGACGCCGCCGCGCGTGCACTCGGATCCGACGCTCGACCGCGCGGGCGCGCCGCCCCTGCGGGCGCCGCCCCTGCCGCCCCTGGCCGTGCCGGGCGCCGGCTCCTTCGCGACGTCCATCTTCGGCGCGCCCGCGCTGGAACCCGGCGTCGTCTCCTGCGACGACGCGTCGCACGAGTCGGAGGCGTCGTCCACGGCGTCCGTCGCGCGGAGCCGCAGCGACCCGTCGCTCGCGTCCCAGGACTCCGAGTCGGACCCGCCGGCGCCGAAGCGGCCCTGCCAGCGGCCCCCGCGGCAGACGCCGCGCGAGCGGTGGTCCGAGGTCGCGCGATCCGTGCTCTTGGCGCACGGCGTCGACCCGGACGGCGGCGGGGCCTCGCCGCCGGGGCCCGCCGCGCCGCCCGTCGTCTACGTCGCGGCCCACGCCTTCGCCAAGGGCCGCGTGTCGCCCGAGCCCGCGGCGCGCTTCCACGAGGTGCCCACGCCGCCCGCGCCGTCGCGGAGCCTCCAGTAGGACCATCGCCGGGCGCCCGCTCGACCGCCACGGGCGCCCCCCGGCGGACTTAATCATCGTCATCGTACTACGTCGTTTTGTGGGGGGATTTCGGGGCGTTAGGGAGTCGTCCGGAAACGACGTCGTCCGACCCCCGGCCAGGTTTCGCCGGGTATGCAGGCTCCTGCGAGCTCGGCGGGCACAGTCTGGGGCACTCAAATCGTCCGCGCGCACGCCGCGGTAGACCACCAAGCGCGCAACGATGAGCGCCATGGAGCTCGACGAGCAGCCCGAGGACGCGACCATGGCCGTCGCCGGCGCCGCGTCGTCGAAGAAGGCGAAGCTCGAGGCCAAGGCCCTCGCGCGGCCCTGGGTCGAGAAGTACCGCCCGAGCTCCCTCGACGAGCTCGTCGCCCACAAGGACATCATCTCCGTGCTCCGGCGCCTCATCGAGGCGGACAAGCTGCCGCACACGCTGCTCTACGGCCCGCCGGGCACGGGCAAGACGAGCACGATCCTCGCGGCGGCGAAAGACATGTACGGCGCGGGCTACAAGAGCATGACGCTCGAGCTCAACGCGTCCGACGACCGCGGCATCGACGTCGTGCGCGACCAGATCAAGGAGTTCGCCGGCACGCGGCGCCTCTTCTCCAAGGGCATCAAGCTCATCATCCTCGACGAGGCCGACATGATGACCAAGGACGCGCAGTTCGCGCTCCGCCGCGTCATCGAGAAGTACACGGCGAACGCGCGCTTCTGCCTCATCTGCAACTACGCGAACAAGATCATCCCCGCGCTCCAGAGCCGCTGCACGAAGTTCCGCTTCGCGCCCCTCGCTCCCGACCAGATCGCGGGCCGCGTCGCCGACATCGTGCGGCGGGAGAACGTGGCCATCGGCACCAAGGCCACGGACGCGCTCCTCGAGCTCGGCAAGGGCGACATGCGCCGCGTGCTCAACGTGCTCCAGGCCGCCGCCGTCGCCTACCCGGGCGAGGTGACCTACGAGTCCCTCTTCCTCGTCACGGGCAACCCGCTGCCGGACCACGTCGACGCCATCTTCGCGTCGCTCCTCAACGACACCTTCGACGCCGCGCGGACGCTCCTCGGCGACCTCTGCAAGACCCAGGGCTACGCGCTCCCGGACCTGCTCACGCGCATCAACGCCAAGGTCGTCGCCGCGAAGCTCCCCAACGCGGCCAAGGCCCACGTCCTCACGAAGCTCGCGGACATCGAGTACCGCTGCGCCTTCGCGACGACGACGGAGCTCCAGCTCTCCTCCCTCGTCTCCGCCTTCGTCGTCGCCCGCGGCCTCGCGCCCGCGCCCGCGTCGGCCTAGTAAGGAGAAGCCCTAGTTAGGGCGCCGCGGGCGAGGCCATCGACGTTACGCTACCGCCGCGGCCTCCGCCGCCTTCGCGCGCCGCGCCGCGTCGGCGACGACGGCCGCGGGGAACCCCGCGAGCGCCGCGCACTCGACGCCGAAGGACGCGGCGCTCGCGCCTGGGCAGGAAAAGAGAGATTCAAGTTCGCTTCAACGTGAGTGTTCCGCGCGCGCGCGTTCCGGAAAAAGCATCCACGCTTCGAGACCGTTCCAAGAGATGATCGCTCGTCCAAAAATCAGCCGAAACGAGTGGAAACCGGCCGAGATAGGAGCCTTTGAAGTTGGGAATTTCGCACCCTTTTGCTGCCCTGGCTCGCGCCCGGCTTGACCTCGTAGAGGAGCGTGAGCGCGCCGTCGCGCGCGAGCGCGTCGACGTGGAAGTTCGCGAGCGACGCGTGTTCGTCGCCCTCCATGCGCGTGAGCTCGAAGAAGTGCGTCGTGAAGAGGCACAGCGGCCCCGTCGCCGCGTCGGCGAGCGTGCGGAGCACGGCGTGGGCGAGCGCCGTGCCTACCGAGCACGACGATTTCTCATTGTCTTTCCCACCCCGACTCTCTCGAAAATCGGCCTCGGGACGCCGCGCCGCGCCGTCCTCCGTCGACGTGCCCCGGCCGATCTCGTCGACGACGACCAAAGCGTCGCGCGTCGCGCGCCGTAGGATCGACGCGGTCTCGCGCATCTCCCGCAGGAACGTCGACTCGCCGGCGCGCGGGTCGTCGGCGGCGCCGACGCGCGCGAGGACCCGCGACGCCCGGGGCACGACCGCGGCGTCCGCGGGCACGTAGGACCCGCAGTGCGCGAGGACGACGGCGACGGCCGCGGCCCGCGCGTAGGTCGACTTGCCGCCCATGTTCGGCCCCGTGACCAGCGCGCAGCGCTTCGCATGACCGCCTAGAGCGAGGTCCGAGGGCACGTAGGACGACGTCGCGGCCTCGACGAGCGGGTGCCGAAGCCGGTCGAGCGTCAACCCCCCGCCGTCGACGAGGGTCGGCCGCGCCCAGCCGAGCTCCGCGGCCGCGCCCGCCAGCGCGCAGAGCGCGTCGACGTCCGCGGCCGCGCGGCAGGCGCGGCGGAGCGGCGTCTGGAAGGTCCGCGCGACCTCGACGCACTGGGCCACGATTTGGGCGCGCGCGTCGTCGCGCGCGGCGTCCGCGCGCCGCTTCGCGAGCGCCGCCGCCGTCAGCGCGTCCGTCGTGAAGAGCACCTCGCCCCCGCGCCGCGTCTGCACGACCGTGGCGCCGGCGAAGCCCCGGACCTTGGCCGCGTTCGCCTTCGTCGCCCGTAAGAGCAGCGCGCCGTCGCCGTCTTCCACGTGGAACGCGTCGGCCTTGCGCTTGCGCTTCTTCGGCGCGCCGAGGATGGCGACCTCGACGCCGGCGACGACGTCGTCGAGCGCATTTGACGCCGCGCTTCGGGCTTGTTCCAGGGCCTCGAGGCCGTCGCAGAGGCTCGCGCGGACCGCGACTTTGGGCAGCGCCGCGACGTCGACGACTTCCTCGACGAGGAGCCGCAGCTTGCCGAGCCCCGCGACGGCGCGGGCCAGGGGCGCCTGGAAGCCCGCGAGCGCCTCGGCGTCGAGCGCGTCCGCGCAGCGGCCCAGCGCCGCCGCGGCGTCGTAGGCCCTGACGACGTCGGCCAAACCGCACGCCTCGCGGCCGAGCGCCGCGGCGACGCGGTCCACGTCCCGGCAGCTCCGGTGGGCCAGCGCGTCCCGGGCCTCGAGGCGCGCCTCGGCGTCGTCGACGAGCGCGCCGACGGCCGCCGAGCGTTTCCGCGCGACGTCGAGATCCGCCGACGGCCGCCGGAGCCACGCCTCGACGCGCCGCCGCCCCGCCGCCGACGCCGCGTGGCCCCGCAGCAGGCCGAGCACCGACGGCCGCGCCGGCGCGTCGCGCGGCGCGACGAGATCCAGCGCGCGGATCGTCGCCGCGTCCAGCTGCACGGCGGTCCCGACGTCGCCCGTCGATGCCCGGAAGTCGTCGTCGAAGGCCGCGGTCGTCGAGATGCGCTCCAGGAGCGCCGACGACGCCTTGAGCGCCAGACCCCGGTGGCGCGCGGCCGCCTCGTCGACGACGGCGCAGGACTCGTCGTCGTCGTCGCCGCCGCACCGCTGCTTTAACGTCCGCGCGACGTCCCTGAGCGGCTGCGCGAACGCCGGCGGCCCGACGACGGTGAGCGCCGCGCCGCAGCGCCGCGCCGCGTCGGCGAGCGCGCCGCTCGCGGCGTCCGCGACGAGCGCCTCGTCGCAGCCGACCTGCGCCAGGCACGCCTCGAGCGTGCCGAGGCTCACGTCGTCGTCGAAGGCGAAGAGCGTGAGGGCCCGCGCGGCCAGGGAGCAGGAGGCGACGCCGACGCGCGGCGCCGTCGCGCCGGCGCCTTCGACGACGACGGCGCAGAGGACGCGGTCGCCGTGCTGGTTCGCCCAGGCCTCGGCGGCGCCGGCGCGGCCCCGGCTCCGGAACTCGTCCGCCAAGGCCGACGCGTCGCCGGGCGTGCAGCGCCGCTCGAGCTTGCCGTCCTCGCGGATCTCCACGGCCTCGCCGCGGCCCAGGGCCGACGCCGCGGCGCTGAAGACGTTGGCGACGCTGAGCTTGAGCTCCACCGTGTCCTTGCAGGGGACGACGAGGCGCTCGCTGTGGAAGATCTCCCGCGCGACGCTCCGGGCTTGGTCGCCGCGCGCGGCGTACTGCGGGAACTCCGTCTTCAACCGCTCGAGCACGAGCGTCGGCGCGGAGGTCATTGCGAGCTCAGAGGCGCGCCCCAGCCAGACTCGAATCGTAGTAGCGTCAACTGGCACATGTTGAGGCTCAACTAAGTTACTTGAGCTGTCTAAACGGTGATCAGCGCGGGGCTGCCCCGTCCCTGCGCGCGCGTCGCGCGCCGGCGGCGTGTAGCGAGCGCGGCGGTGCGCCGCGCCCCTAGCCGCGCCACCATGCCGACGAAGGGGACGCCCTTCAAGGTGAAGCAGGCCATGCGGCGGCGCGAGGCGAACTGGAATTTGGGCATCGTCGCCGTCGACAAGAAGGGCTCGACGCAGAGCGCCGTCTTCAACGACGAGACGTCCTTCGCGTCGAGCCAGAGCACCTACGACCCCCTGGGCGCCGCGCGCAACGCCGCGGCGCCCAAGTTCAAGTCGTCGACCGTCGGGCGCCTCCGCGAGGGCGCCGCGCGCGCCTACGGCGCCGCGCCGCTGCCCGCGTACGAGGGCGCGCGCGGCTCGAGGCGGCCGGGCCAGCGGGGCAAGGAGTTCGTCGCGCGGAAGCGCATTCTGGACGCCCGCGACGCCGAGGAGCGCGGGTCGCGGCCCGCGAGCCCCGAGAACGGCGACGCGCCGTCGCGACCGGGCACGGGGCAGAAGCGGCCGCCGGAGTTCACGCCGCTCATGAAGGCCGCCGCCGCGGGCAACGACGTGCGCGTCGAGTCGCTGCTCGCCTTACCGGGCACGCTCGTGACCATCTTCGCGACGGACCACAAGGGCCGGACCGCGCTCGACTGGGCCCAGGTCAAGGGGAGCACGACGATCGCGGAGACGCTGAAGATGGCCATGGAGCGCGAGCTGCGCATCAAGGCCCAGGACCGGGAAACGAAAGAGCGCGAGCACGAGCTGCGGCGGCTCGTGCGGAAGAACCTCCATCTGCGGGCCATCCTCCACCACGCGATCAACACGCGCGACGTCGCGTCGCTGAACCGCGCGGTCCACGCGGCGGACTTCTCGCGCGACGAGTTCAACAAGGCCGTGCGCATGCTCAAGGGCTACGCGGCGCGGAACAAGCGGCCCGACCTCGCGGAGGGTACCGTGCTCACGGACGTCGCGCCGCCGCTCGAAGGGAAGGTCAACGAGAAGATGAAGGTCGCGGAGGTCGACGACGCGGATTTGGACGAGAAGCTGTATTTTATCGACGTGGAGACGGAGACGGGCGGCACGGCGCTTCTGGTGGCCTGCGCCGCGGGCAACGTGCTCCTCGCCGACGAGCTGCTCCAGCGCGGCGCGGAGGCGAACCACGAGAACCTCCGGGGGCACACGGCGCTGTCCTGGGCCTGCGTCTGCGGCGCCGACGGCGTCGTCGATTTGCTGCTGCGCAACGGCGCGGACCCGCGGCGGCCGACGAAGCTCGAGCAGCGCACGCCCCTCGTCCACGCGGCGCAGCACGGCCACGCGAAGGTGCTGCAGGTCTTGGTGGACCGCCTCTTCTACGACGCGCAGATGAAGCGCCACGAGGCGCTGCGGCCCGACCGGCCGACGCCGCTGCCGGAGAAGGAGGCGCGCGTCAGCGAACGGCACTGGCTGCGCGACTTCGAGGAGGCCGTGCACTACGTCGACCCGTCGTCGGAGATGACGGCGTTGGAGCTCGCGGAGTCCGTCAACGCGGAGCTCGCCGTCAACGTGCTCCGCACGGCGGAGGCGCGCATCGAGCAGCGCCAGAACGAGCTCGTCCAGGGCGACCTCAAGCAGGCGCCCAAGGTCTGCCCGCGGAACTGCGGCGCGGGCATGCTCAAGGCCTGCGACCTCACGAGCCACATGCTCAACGACTGCGAGCTGCGGCCCGCGGGCTGCGACAACTGCGGCGGCACCCTGCCGAAGCGGTTCCTCCTCGAGCACCAGGCGACGGACTGCCCCGCGCGCATGGTCGACTGCCACATGTGCGGCGCGTCGATTTTGGCGTCGTCGTGGAAGGCGCACCGCGAGTTCCGCTGCCCGCTGCGCACGGTGACCTGCCGCATGGGCTGCGGCCAGGAGATGCCCTGCGAGCAGCTCGCGCAGCACGAGCTGATCCGCTGCCGCTGGCGGGGGCTGCCGTGCCCGCTGCCGGGCTGCGGCCGCGAGATCCGCGCGTACGAGGCAGGGCAGGGAAAGAGTGATTCAAGTTCGCTTCAACATGAGCGTTCCGCGCGCACGCGTTCCGGAAACAGCATCCATGCGTCGAGAGCGCTCCGAGAGATGATCGCTCGTCCAAAAATTAGCCGAAATGAGTGGAAAACGGCCGAGATAGGAGCCTCCAAAGTTGGAAATGTCGCACTCTTTTCCTGCCCAGGTACCTCATGCGCGACCACAAGAAGAAGGAGTGCCTGCGGCGCCTCGTCAAGTGCCGGCTGGGCTGCGGCCTCCAGCTGCCCTTCGAGGACCGGGACAAGCACGAGCAGGAGGTCTGCACGCAGGTCTGCCAGTGGGACGGCTGCGGCCAGCGCATCGGCCCGGAGGAGCACCGGCGGCTCCACGAGCGGTTCCACTGCGAGCGGCGCGGCGTGCCCTGCCCCTACGCCTGCGGCATCCCCGGCGTCGCGGCCAACGCCATGAAGGTCCACGCGGAGTTCGTGTGCCCGCAGCGCCCCGCGACGTGCCCCTACGGCTGCGCGTGGGAGGGCGTCTTCGAGGATTTGCGGCTGCACGTCGACGCGGAGCGCGGCGACTGCCCCGAGCGCCAGATGCGGTGCCGCTACGACATGGTCGGGCGGCGCGTGTCCTGGTTCGTCGCCGCGAAGCGCGCGCGGGCGCGCGCGGCGGGCCGGAACGGCGACGACGAGGGCTACGAGCGGGGCGTGCTGCGGCGCTACAACCCGGACACGGACGAGTTCCTGCTATTCGGGAGCGCGTCGAAGCCCGAGTGGGTCAAGCTCGCGGACCTCGACGGCTTCTCGCTCATCGACACGGACAACTTCAAGTGCTACTGGGTGTCGTCCGCGCGCATGAAGACGCACCTCAGGCGCAAGTGCCCCTGCCGGCCCTTCGCGGGGCGGCAGAAGACGGCGGACGAGCTGAGCGACTCGGACGCGAGCGTCGAGGAGCTCGTCCTCGAGGAGGCGGAGCCCGGCGACGGCGGCGACGAGCCCGTGCCCGAGGCCGAGGTGCCCCGGTGGGACGACGACGCGCCGGAGGAGGAGGAGACGCCCTACGACGCGCGCGAGGGCGTGCGCATCGACCCGCGGACGCGCGACGAGCACGGCGTCGAGGTCGGCACGAGCAAGCGCTGCAAGTACGCGTGCGGCCGCGTCTTTCCGATGACGGATCTCGGCATGGACGAGTACGGCTACCACGTGTTGAAGCTCTGCGGCAAGCGGCCCGTGACCTGCCCCCACTGCGGCGACGCCGAGCTCTGGGCCGAGGAGTTCGAGGACCACCCCGCGAACTGCCCCGTGCTCACCTTCGAGCCGCCGCCGCCCGGGTTCACGTGCGCGTGCGGCGAGTACGTCGCGGACAGCGACAAGGTCGAGCACATGGTCGGCTGCGTCGCCAAGGAGTGCTACTGCCCCCAGGGCTGCGGCGTCAAGATGCTCCAGTCGAAGCTCGAGAAGCACAAGAAGGACGAGTGCATCCGGCGCCACCTGAGGCACGGCGTCCTCGTGAGCTGCCGCCTCGGCTGCGGCAAGGAGGGCATCCGCTTCCAGGACGAGTGGGCCCACCAGACCTCGGAGTGCCCAAGGCGCGTCGTCGAGTGCAAGCTCGGCTGCGGGTCCCTCTTCCCCTTTGTCATGGAGCGGGACCACGCGGCGACGTGCCCGAAGCGCATGGTGCCCTGCGGCGTCGGCGCGCAGGGCTGCCAGCGCGAGCTCCGGAGCTGGCTCAAGGTCCACGACCACTACAACAAGTTCGGCGACCGGGCCAACTCCTTCGTCCTCTGCGACGTGCACAACGCGGGGGCGCTGCTCTACGCGGTGCGGACCAAGGACACGCTCCTCCTGCTCCACCTCCTCAACGCCATCGCCGGCGACACGGCCCAGATCGAGCTCGAGTCCAACGACGGCTACAACGCCCTGACGAAGGCCTGCGGCCTCGACAACATCGAGCACGTCGAGATCCTGTGGCGCGCGGGCGCGATGATCAACGCGGAGACGAAGCGGGGCCGGACGCCGCTCATCGAGGCGGCCAAGGAGGGCCACCTCGCCACGTGCCGCTACCTCGTGGACCGCGGCGCCGTCATCGAGTACAAGAGCCGCCAGCGCAAGACGGCGATCCAGTGGGCGTCCATCAGCGGCCACGCGCACGTCCAGCGCCAGCTCCGACGGGACAACGACGTCCAGCAGTCCATGGCGCGCCTTTTTACGTTGGTGACCTGCGGCGACGCCGCCGCCGTCCGCGACATCGTGCTCCCCGGCGAGGTCTACACGCGGGGGGCCCTCGTGCGCCTCCAGCGCGAGCTCGGCGCGGAGGACGCGGCGCTCGACGGCGCGACGGCGGAGCTGGACCAGCTCCACAAGGAGATGCGCAAGTTCGCCTTCGCGGAGCGCGAGCAGAACCGGAATCTGCTGTCGAAGTCGAAGCTGGCCCACATCGTCGACGGCATGGCCGACGACGTCATGGAGTGCCGCGACAAGCTCGACCGCAACGTCGCGGACCAGCTGCGCAAGGCCGCGCTGGCGCTCAAGACCATCGAGGCCGCGGACGTCATCGAGCTCACTTCCCTGAAATCGACGGCCGTCAAGCAGCGCGTCTTCCGCGTGCTCATCATCTGCTGCGAGCTGCTGGGCGCGAAGCTGCCGCCGCCGACGGCGGCGCTCGCGAACGCGGCGTCGCTCTCGGAGCCGACGTCGCTCGGCGGCGACGAGGCGAGCGGCCTGGTCGAGGGCACGTCCATGGGCACGCCCGAGGTGCGCCAGGCGGCCCAGGAGAAGAAGCACCGCGTCGAGACCTGGAAGGCCTGCAAGAAGCTGCTGAAGACGCCCAACCTGCTGCGGCAGCTCCGCTTCTTCACGGACGCCATGGCCCCCGTCGACGGCGCCGGCGCGCGGCGCCTGCGGCGCATGTACTCCGACGAGTACCGCGACGGGAGCAAGCTTTTGAGCGAGGCCCTGTCCATGTCCGCGTCTACTATGAAGTCGTCCAAGGGGAGGCCCGAGACCGTCAACGAGGACGACGACGAGAGCCACACGACCCACCTGACCGGCGACTCGCAGATGACGAAGCCGCCGGAGTACGACTCCGACGGCTACGAGATCCCCGACGAGAGCCACCTGCCCGAGAGCGAGCGCACGACGCCCGAGGACCGCGAGGCCGCCAAGGGCGTGCGCCGCGCGGCCGTGCGCGCGCGCGCCGTCGCGGACACGCCGCCCTTCTTCGAAGTGGAAGGATCGTCGAACGTGTCCGACGCGTCCACGACGTCGTCGACGGTCGACGGCTACCAGATCGTCGGCGTGCTCGCGCTCTGGGCGAACGCGCACATCGCGTCCATCGAGGCCAAGTCCTGCGTGCGGGATCTCGACGAGCAGGAGCGGGGCCTCCGCGCGCGCTTCGACCTCAGCCGCGAGCCCGAGATGCTCGTCGCGAAGCGGGACGCGTACGTCGCCGCGAGCCGCGTCAAAATGATCGAGCGCGAGGTCGAGCAGCTCGAGAAGGAGGTGAAGCACCGCCAGAACCGCGTCGTCGCCTGGGAGGGCAAGGTGCGCGTCGCGCGCGTGCTCCAGCAGTACACGCCCGGCGGCCACAGCCTCCTGACCTGGGCCTGCTGCTTAGGGATTTCGAGCGTCGTCGAGACGCTGCTGGACCACGGGTCCTGCCCGGGGCTGCCGGACGTCGTCGAGGCCGAGGCCGCGCGCGTCGTCCAGCTCGTCTACCGCCACCACGTCTGGCGCTCCGCGGAGCGCGTCCGCGTCGCGCGCTCGGAGCTGGCCGACTCCGCGTCCGAGAAGGCCGCGCGAAGGAAGCGCGAGACGGAGTTCAAGTTCATCCTGCAGCGGGCTTTGACGGTCTACATGGACAAGCGGACGACGCACCGCCTGCCGCTCTGCGAGGCGGCCTACAACCGCAACGGCAACGTCTTCGAGGCCTTCGAGCGGCGGCGCATCTTGTACACGGGCCGCCACCTCTACGAGACGGCGCTCTACCCGGAGCCGCCCTTCCCCTTTGCTAGGCGGCCGCCCGTGGCGGCGCACCTGAGGAAGCGGCTCTACAACGTCGTCGACTGCGTCGAGCACGGCATGAAGGATCTAGGTGCCATGCACTGGGCGCACGGCCGCGCGTGGGTGTCCGAGTACGCGGCGGACACGCCCCAGGCCCTGGCCCGCGAGGCGGCGACGGCGGCCTGGGAGGCGCACCTCGCGGCCGTCGAGGCGGGCAACGAGCTGCGGTCCCAGCGCGTCAAGGACCGCGACGCGCGGCGCCCGAACCTCGCCGCGATCGCGGAATTGGAGGCCGCGCTCCGCGACAACAACTTCATGGAGATCGCGCGCATCTTCGACGCCGGCGTCGTGCCCGTGGACCACGAGGACCCGCGCAACGGTTTGACGCCCCTCATCTCCGCGGCGTGCGAGGACACGACGGTCGCCGCGCGGAAGATGTGCTTCGACGTGGAAGGGCGCGAGTGCCTGGCCGTTATTCTGTTATTGGACCGCAAGAAGCGGCGGCCGCGCGTCGACGGCGAGAATAGGTACGGCCACACGGCGCTGACCATGGCCGTCGTCAAGGGCCGCTTCGACGTCGTCCAGGCGCTCCTGGACCGCGGCGCGAAGGCGGACCGGCGGTCGCTGAACAAGCGGGGCTGGACGCCGCTGCGCTTCGCGGCGGAGCGCGACAAGGCCAAGGCCGTCGAGTTATTGATGCTGCGGGGCGGCGACCCCTACGCCGTCGCCGACGACGGTCTGACGCCCATGGACGTCGCGCGGAAGAAGGGCTTCGTCGACGCGACGGCGGCCTTCGCGCGGGGCCTGGCGGGCCACGCGGGGCGGGCCGTCGCGAACCGGCGCGACGTCGCCGTGCCGGAGGTGCCCTGCGACTTTGGCTGCGGCACCTTCATCAAGGAGGACGACGCGGCCGCGCGCGACGAGCACCGAAAAACGTGCCGGAAAAGGCCCGTCGTCTGCGGCGAGTGCGGCCTCGAGGGCCTGTGGGCCGAGGAGCTGCCGAACCACGTGGCCATGTACTGCCAGATCGCGCACGTCGCGCGGTGCCCGCTGCGCTGCGGCGAGGAGTTCCGGGCGGAGGACATGGCCGCGCACTTGCTGGTCTGCAAGAATCGCGTCGTCACGTGCGAGGCCTGCGGCATCGAGGTCTTCGAGGCGGGCTACGCCGTGCACCGGCTGAAGCGCTGCGCGGAGCGGCCGCGGCCCGTGAAGCGGAAGCCGCCGAGGGAGATCCCCCACGTGCTCTGCCCGCACTGCGGCACCTCCGTCCGCGAGGACTTTCTCGACCCGAACCTCCACAACTGCCCGGTCTTCCGGCCGACGCCGTGCCCGAACAAGTGCGGCGAGCTCGTCGAGGCGCGCGACGTGCCGCGGCACGTCGCCGAGGACTGCGTCCACCGCTGGGTGCCCTGCGAGAACGGCTGCGGGCTCAAGCTCCGCGTCGTCGACATGGCCATGCACCTCCACGGGCCGGGCCCCGCGGGGTCGCGCTGCGGGTTGGCCGTCGAGGCCTGCGAGAGGTGCGGCCAGGAGATGCCGAGCCGCCAGATGCCCGTGCACGACGCGTACGCGTGCCCGCGGCGCGACGCGGGCTGCGGCCTCTGCGGGTCCTCTGTGCCCTTCGAGGAGCTCGAGCGCCACAAGAAGGTCGAGTGCCCCGTGCGCACGGTCCTCTGCCCGAACCGCGCGTGCTACAAGTACCTGCCGCTGAACCAGATGCGCCACCACGCCGCGCGGACGTGCCGGAAGCGTTTGGTGCGGTGCCTCCAGGGCTGCGGCATGGAGATGCCCGTGCGGCGCATCGACAAGCACATGTCCGAGCGGTGCAGCCTGCGCCACGTCGACTGCCCCCTGGGCTGCGGCATGGTGCTCCGGGCCTACGAGGAGTGGAACCACATCGAGAAATTGTGCGTGAGGCGCTTCACGTCGGGGCTGAAGACCGTCGACAAGACCGGCGGCAAGTAAGGTGCTTTGGGGGCTAAGCCCGGGGTGGACTTGTGTCGGACTTGTGCCGGGTACTACGTAGTAGGCCTCGTAGTACTGTACTACTACAGCTGTATTAGGAATGCCTAGTAGGATTGAGCGATTTTGCCTTGACGCGTCTCTAAACGTATACAGCTGTAGCATAGGGGGGCCGGGAGGAACCGCGATTTTGCTTAGCCGCGGCGCAGGGAAGGACCGAAGGGGGGGAGAGAACAGCGAAGGGGGGCGTTTTTGCCATTGCATCCACGCGGTACAGCCGTAGACAGGAGACGATCGACGAATAAGCGACGCGCGCCGTCATGTCGTGGCAGGAGAAGAAGTTGGAGTATGAGAATCGCATGGCCCGAGCGAGGGGCAAAAAACTCGACACTCTCAAGACCTGCACGATCTGCGGCGCCGACAAGGCCAAGGCTTGTCAAGGGTGCGGCACGACGGCCTACTGTTCGACGGATTGTCAACGCATCGACTGGCGCGACCGGGGCCACCGCAAGGTGTGCAAGAAGATCCAGGCCGCGGAGGCGGCGCGGGCCGAAGCGCCGACGCCCCCGCCGTCGCCGCCGCGGGACGTGTTCTACGGCCCCGCGCCTCGGTCGCACGCCGACGAGGTCCGCGCGCGCATCGCGGCGGAACACGAGGCGGCGCGGGCGCGGCGCGAGGCGAACCCGGAGCCTGAGCCGCTGTCGGCACGGCTCGGGTCGCGGTGCCCGATCTGCCTCGAGGAGTGGGACGTGAATGTGAGGAACGTGTTTCGCGTCTGCTGCTGCCGGAGGGTCTGCAAGTCGTGCAGTGACAAGATCTTCGACTCCGACGCGTGTCCCCTCTGTCGTTCGCCGCCCCCCAAAAACGATGCGGAGGACCTCGCGCGTCTTCGCCGCCACGTGGAGAACGACGTGCCGGAAGCGATTAGGTTTTTGGGAGACGCGTACCGCTATGGTGACTTCGGCCTTGTGAAATCCGATAAGAAAGCCGCGAAGATTTACCGGCGCGGCGTGGAGCTCCGCGATGTGGAGGCGATGAAACACCTTGGGTTTATGTACGAGACTGGAAGTGGCGTCAAGCTGGACAAAGAGAAGGCGACGCGGCTGTATCGCATGGCCGCGGATCGGGGCGACGCGATCGCGCAATCCAATTTAGCAAAGTTCCTTGATTCTGAAGAGAGATTTGAAGAAGCGTTCCGGTACTACGCGCTCGCGGCGGATCAAGGCTATACCGATGCGGAGAATAGCCTTGGCTGCTGTTACAGTCACGGAGAAGGCACGGAAGTCGACCTCGGGAAAGCCAGATACTGGTTCGAGCGCGCCGCTGCCAAGGGCGACGAGAACTCTATCAATGCCCTCGCGCACCTCGACGCGCGACCATAGCCTAAGTCTTTACGCCGCGTCGTCGCCCGAGCCTGGGATGCTGCGCTTGCGCGCGCGCGATGGCGTCGTCGTCGCCGCGTTCCTCTCCGCGCCGACCTCCGCCGCGGTCTGGTGCCTCGCGTTCTCAGAGGCTTGACGCGAGGCCCGCCTTGCGCAAGGACGACAACGCCGCCGACTCGGAGGGCATGGGAATGGCATGAGCGCGATGCTCTAGCCCGGGGTAGACCTATTTTAGGGGGAGTCACGCCGTCCGGTTCTTGACGAAGAGCTTGGCGATCTCGCGGACCTGGTCCGCGTCGAGGGCGTAGGCCGGCGCGCCGGAGCCGTCGAAGGAGAGCAACCCCGGCGGGAGGCGGCTCGTGGAGATCGCGGGGAAGGGCTGGACGGGCGCGACCTTGAGCTGGGCGGCGTAGGGCGTCGGCCGCGCGCCCGGCGGCGGCGGGAGCGCGACGCCGGTCCAGGGCTTGGCCGTGAACGCGTAGGGCGCGACGGCGTCCGGGTCGTCGGCCGCGCAGTCCGGGCGGAAGATGCCGTGGAGCCGGCGCCGCGCGGCGTCGTAGAGGAAGCAGCGCACGGCGCGCCGCGACGCGTCGGGCGCGCGCTTCACGGCGCGGACCACGGCGAGGTGGGACGCGGGGAACGCGAAGACGCGGCGGTCGAGCGACTCGTCGGCGGCGTCGCCGGACGCGCAGCCGAAGACCAGCCCCGCGGGCAGGGGCGCATCCTGGGCCGCCGGCGCCGCGCGGGGCGTCGGCGACGCGCCCAGCGCCGTGCGCAGGCGGCTCAGGGGGCCGATGGCCAGGACCTTGGCGCCCGTCTGGGGATCCCGGAGGTCTTTCAACGTCTCGGGCGCGGCGCCGCGGAGCGCGCCGAGCGTCGCGAAGCCCGCGCGCGCGAGGGGCGCCTCGTACTTGGCGAGGTCCGCCGCGGCGAGGAAGGCCCCCAAACCGCCGTCGCCGGCGGGCGGCGCCGGCTCCGCGAGGAAGCTCCGGAGCTTGCTGAGCGGCCCGACCTGGGCAGGAAAAGGGTGCGAAATTCCCAACTTTGGAGGCTCCTATCTCGATCATTTTCCACTCGTTTCGGCTGATTTTGGGACGAGCGATCATCCCTCGGAGCGCTCTCGACGCGTGGATGCTTTTCCCGGAACGCGCGCGCGCGGAACACTCACGTTGAAGCGACGTTGAATCACCCTTTTCCTGCCCTGGGACCGACGGCGAGGACGCGCGCGCCCGTCGCCGCGTCGCGGAGGTCCTTGAGGCCGTCGGGCCCGAGGCGGCGCACGTCGGCGACGGACGCGACGCCGCAGGCCGCTAAACCCGCGGCGACGCGGTCGATCTCGAGCTGGCGGAGGAGCGCCGCGAGGTCCGCGGCCGGCGCGGCCGGCGGCCGCGGCGCCGCGGGTGCCGCGGGCGGCGCCGCGGCCGCGGGCGGAGGACCCCCGGCGCCGGGCAGCGCGGCGCGGATCTTCGAGAGGGGGCCGATGGTGAGCACCTTGGCGCCGCCCACGGGGTCGACGAGGTCCTTGAGGGCCCCGGCGTTCGCGGCGAGGTCCGCCACGGTCGCGAAACCGCACCGCGCGAGGCCCGGCCCGACGCGCGCGAGCCCGAGGCCCTCGAGGAAGTCCGCGAGGTCCGGCGCCGGGCTCGCGGCCCGCGCCGCCGGGCTCGCGGCCCGCGCGGCCGGCGGCGCCGCGGCCTCGGCGTTGGCCGCGGCCGTCCGGAGCTTCGACAGCGGCCCGATTGCCAGCAGCTTGCCGCCCGTCGACGGGTTCGTCAGCGCCTTGAGCTCGTCGCCGGACGCGGCCTTGACGCGCGCGAGCGTGCCGTAGCCCGCCGCGGCGAGGGCCGGGCCGTACTGGTCGAGGTTCGCGCCCGCGAGGCACTCGGCGAGCGCCGGTTCAACCGCGGCGGCGGCCGCCGGCGCCGGCTCCGCGCGCGCGGGCGGCGGCTCCGCGCGCGCGGGCGGCGCCGCGGCGGCGCCGAGGGACGCCTCGAGGGCCGGCAGGGCCGCGCGGATCTTCGAGAGCGGGCCGATGGAGAGCACCTTGGCGTTGTCGACGGGGTCGCGGAGGTTCTTGAGCGTCTCCGGAGGCGTCGCGAGGAGCGCCGCGGCGGAGCCGATGCCGCAGGCCGCGAGCTGGGGGCCGTGGCGGCCGAGGTCGAGGCCGTCGAGGAAGGCCGCGAGGTCCGGCGCGACGGCCGCGGGCGCCGCCGCCGCCGCGGGCTCGGGCGCCGCGGGCGGAACCGGCGCCGCCGCCGCGGGCGGCACCGGCGACGCGCGCCGGTCCTTGAGGGCGCCGCGCAGCTTGCTCAGGGGGCCCACGGCGAGGACGCGCGCGCCCGTCTCCGGGTCCCGCAGGTCCTTGAGCGCGTCGCCCGGCGCCGCGAGGAGCGCGGCGAGGCTCCGCGGTCGCGAGGAAGGCCGCGAGGTCGCCGCCGTCGGCCGCCGCCGCCGGCGGCGGCGGGGACGCCGGCGGCGGGGACGCCGCGGGCGCGAGGGCCGTCGAGGCGCGCGCGCAGCGAGGGGTCTTGCCGGGCGGCGTCGCCGAGGACCGCGCGGAGCTGCGCCAGCGCGTTCGCGTCCAGGGACGCGCCCTGGAGGTAGCCCAGGCACTCGGACGCACTGAGCGACGCGACGACGGACTCCATGGCGGGCGTCGGGGCTGAAGGCCACACCCAGACGAGCTTGCGGCGAGGGCTCGGCGTGGCGAGGTCGATGCTGAGTTTTGCCACAGAGAGAGAGAATCTAGAGAGAGAGCAAACGGAGCTCCGGAGAGCGCCCAGCATCGTCCCGGGAGCCGTGGCCAGCCGCGCGCCGCCGCCGACGCGGGGCTGCTGGACGACGCGCCGCGCCTCTCGTCGATGAGCGCCATGCTCTACAGCGTGCGCCACAAGGCGCCGTCGAAGCGCGAGCTCGAGGTGCGCTCGCTCTGCGACCTCTGCCTCGACAGCCTCGCGGCCCACTTCGAGCTCATCGAGGACCTGGGCCCCCACGTGTCGAGCGCCCAGTACGCGGCGCTCCTCGCCCACGGCAACTGCCGCGCGACGCCCGAGGCCGTCGCGCGCGTCGAGGCCCTGCAGCCGCAGCTCGCGAGCGAGGCCAGCGACGAGGCGTTCTGGGCGAAGCGGCCCGAGGTCGTCTCCGCGTGGGCCCGGGGCGTCGGCCCCGTCGGCCGCGTCGCGGCGCTCGTCGCCGACGTCGCCGCGCCCCTCGAGGCCGCCGTCGCCGCCGGCGCCGTCACCATCGAGGGCGTCGTCGCTTGCGTGGCCGCCGTCGCCAAACTCGCGAAGCTGCCCGTGTCGCTCCAGGTGCTCGAGCGCACGCGCGTCGGGATCACGCTGTCGCGGGCCATCAAGCTCGGGGGCGCCGACGGGACGCATGGGGGCGCCGCCGGGAAGCAGTTCCGCGACGCCGCGGCGACGCTGCTCAAGACCTGGAAGGCGCGCGCCGCGGCCGCGGGCGCCGCGGAGCGCCAGGGCGTGTCCAAGAAGCGGCGCGAGGCGGCGACGAGCACGCCGCCCCGCGGCGCCGAGGACGACGACTTCGTCGCGGCGCGCGCGGGCGCGTGCGAGACCTGGAAGGACGTGCACGGCCTCCTCGTCGAGCTCGCGGCGCGGAAGCGCGAGCGGTTCTGCGAGAAGGCGCGGCGGCTCTACTCGGAGGAGAAGGCGTCGAAGAAGCTGACCAAGGTCATCCAGCCCGGCGACCGGCTCCCGAAGCGGCGCCGCGTCCGCTCGCCGGAGCCCGCGCCGGACTTCCGCGTGGCCTCCAACGTCTCCCGGCCGCCGTCGTTCGTCGCCGCGCGCGCGTCCCAGCCGCCGATGCGCGCGTCGCGCGTCGTCGCCCAGCCGCCGCCGCCGCGGCCCGCGACCGCCCTGCCCTACTCGCGCGCGCCCCGGCCTTCCGGGACCGCGCCGCGGCCGCACCGCGGGCGATGATAATCCCCCCTTTTTTTTGACAGCCGCGGTCCTTGCGCGGGCCATTCGCATCCATTCGCGGAGATCGGAGGCCCGTCGGCGGAGGACGCTTGAACTGCACGTTGAAGGCATCATTGAAGAAAGAGAGAGGAAGAGGGAGCATGCGCGTGTCATTGCTCGTCGCCATCGCTGCGTGCTCGGACGCGTTCGTCGCACCGGCCTCGCGCGCTGCCCTGGGTCGGCGACCGCAAGCGAAGCCGGAGGCACGACGACCGCACGCGAAGGCGGCGACGGACCGCGACGCCGAAGTTCCGCTGCCCTGGCTCGGCAAGCTCGCCCTCGCCGGCGCGGCGCTCGGCCCCGTGTGCGACAACTTCCACAGCGGCTTCGGCGTGCTGGGGCGACGGCCACCTGTNTCAGACGGCCGCGTGGGTGCCGCCGCTCTTCGCCTTGGCGGCGCTCGTCATCGGCGGCATCGACGCGCTGGTCGCGGCGCGCGCCCCGCCGGCGGCCGCGCCGTCCGGGGCGCGCGCGGCCGCGGGCGTCGGCGCGTTCGTCGCGCTCTACGCGCTCTCGGCGGCGCTCGCGGGCGCGCCGCCGCTCGGCGCGGGCGTCGCGCCGGCGACGAGCTCGCTCGCGCTCTGGCCGCCGGCGCTGGCGCTCTGGGCGCTCCTCGACCCGTCGCCGAGCTCCTTCGTCGCCGGCGCGCTCACGGCCGTCGGGGGCCCGCTCATCGAGGTCGCGCTCCTCGGCGGCGGCGGCGCCTTCGCGGAGCCCTTCGGCCACCTCTATTCCTACGCGCGCGCGGACCTGCTCGGCGTCGACAGCTGGATCCCCGCCGTCTACTTCGCCGGCGGCCCCGCCGTCGCCCTCGTGTCGCGGTTTCTGCGTTATAACTAGGACCGCTGACAACACGAGGTACCTTAGCGCACTTCGGCGGTCGCGTTCGGTTCCAGACAGGCAGGCAGGCGGCGGCGGCGGCGGTCCCTCGGCGCCTCTTGGCGGCGGCGGCGGACGGCGGCGGCGGCGGCGGCGGCGGTCTAGAGCTGCTCGATCTCCTTCTCGCGGATCGGGTTCTTGAGGGGCGCGAAGACGGGCTCGCCCGCGCGCTCCTTGCACCCCATGTAGGCCACGAAGAGGACGGCGAGGAGGAGCGCGACGGCGAAGGCCGCGGCGAGGCCGCCGTAGAGCGCCTCGTCGTCGTCCGACGACTTCTTCTTCGAGGAGCCCCCCTCGGTGACCGTCTCGACGACGGTCTCGACCTCGGGACAGTTGAGGAGCCGGGCCTTCTCGAGGTCGTAGTCGAACTTGGGCGTGAGGTCGATGTCGCAGTAGGGGAGGAGCGGGTTGAAGAGCGAGTCCGTCGGGCTCTCGAAGCCGCCGAGCTCGGCCTCGATGATGGGCCCCTTGTTGACGGCGTGGACGACGGTCTTGCGGACGTCGACGTCGGCGATGTTCATGATGAGGACGTTGTTCTGCGTCGAGATGCCGTGGAGCACGTCGAACTTGTCGTCGTACTGGAGCGTCGCGTACTCGGAGGCGGCGATCACGCCCGCGCCGACGACGACGTCGAGCGACTCGTCCTGGAGCGCCGCGAGGACGGCGTCCTGGTCCGCGTAGTAGACGACGTGGAGCTCCTCGATGTCGGGCGCGCCGCCCCAGTAGTCCGCGTGCTGGAGGAACTGGGCGCGCTCGTCGTACTCCTCGTCCGTGTCCGCGTTGGCCTTGGTGACCGCGCCGAGCTTGAAGGGCCCCGTGCCGGAGACGGCGAGCGTCCCGGCGCAGACGACCGCGGGGTCCGTGTCCGTCGCGTCGACGGTGCCCCAGCCCGTCGGGCACGAGTTGTGCGTGTAGGGGTCCGTGGCCGCGCCGTTGACGAAGGCCAGGGGCGAGAGCATGCGGAGCGGGCGGATGTAGGAGAGCTCCTGGAGGAGCGGGTAGTAGGGCGCGTCCGTGTTGAGCACGAAGACCTCGCCGTCGCAGGACCACGACGACGCGGCGCCGGGGAGGCCGTACCAGCCGTGCCAGTCGCCGCCCGAGAGGCCGCCGGCGAAGACGTGGTCGAAGTTGAGCTTGACGACGGAGCAGTCGAAGGCCGCGCCGTCGTGGAACGTGACGCCCTCGCGGAGCGTGAAGCGCCACGTCTCGCCGCCGGACGACGTCTCCTCGGACGTCCAGGCCGTGGCCAGGCTGGCCTCGATGTTGCCGTTGGCGCCGTAGGCCACGAGGCCCTCGTAGACCCAGTTGTTCGCGAAGAACTCGTTCGGGCGGTACGAGTGCGGGTCGAGGCGGCCCACGGACGTGAAGAGGCCCGTCTGCGCGCCGGGCGCGACGGTCACGATCTTCTCGCCGGAGACGACGGTCATCTTGTGGACCGGGTAGTCGAACTGCTGGTAGCCCGACGTGTAGCCCATGAGGCGCTGCTTGTTGACGACGGAGGGGATGCGGACGCCCCAGAGCGGCACGTGGATGACCTCGTCGTGGACCTCCGACAAGAGCGCCGTCCACTTGTCCTGGCGCGTCGCCGCGTCCATCTCCGAGAGGACGTCGTCGACGTCCGCGGCGAAGGTCTCGGGGTCGAGGTTCGTCGTGCCGCCGGACATGACGCCGTAGTGCGCCTCGTCGGGCGTCGTCCACGACGCGACGTAGGAGTGGGGGTCGTAGGGCGCGCCCCAGGTCTGGGAGAAGACGACGTCGAAGTTGCCCGCGACCATGTCCGTGTTGTAGGCGTCGCGGTCGAGGAACCGCGCCGTCGCCGTGATGCCCACCTCCGCCAAATTCGCGCGGATGTCGTCCTCGATGGCCGCGAACGTCGCGTCGCCGTCGAGGACGAGGAAGTCGAGCGTCGTCGCCTTGCAGTCCGCGGCGGCGGCCGTCGAGGCACCGGAGAGGGCGAGGGCGAGGCTGAGCTTCATGGTCGGACGCGCCTGCGGTCGGGTAACTCGGAGTTGCCCTCGATGGAGTCGCAGAGATCCGAGAAATCCAACCAATCGTCGTCGCCCATGTAGGAGTAGGAGTATAACGAGGAGTCGAAACCGTCGGGGCAGTTCGTGTTGATGCAGTCGACCAAGGCTTCTTCCGCCGCCTCCGACTCGGCGGAGGCGACGGCGACCAGTGCGAATGTAGCCCATGAGGCGCTGCTTGTTGACGACGGAGGGGATGCGGACGCCCCAGAGCGGCACGTGGATGACCTCGTCGTGGACCTCCGACAAGAGCGCCCATCTTCGGTCGGGGTGTCGGCGCGCGCGCGGCGGTGGTGGGGTGCGTAGGGGCTTCGGGGCGGGCCGACTCTCGCGGGCGAATGCGGGAGCGGCGCGCAAGCGCTGCCACTTGGTCGACTCGCCGACGCTTTCGGCGAATCGCCCGTTTCGCGCCGTTCGACGTCGGGTTTGCGACGCCCCATCGGAAGATGGCGTGCATAGCACCTCTCGAGCCGGCAGCGCGAGGCTGGAAGCTGCATCAGTGCGTCGTGGACGCTGGATCGCGCGGTACTTCGAGATGAGCACAACTATCTGGTTCCGGATCCTACCCCTAGTAGCGCGCTCTAATTCCGAACGGCAGCATGGCGTCAATGAGAAGCTCAACGGGCTGCGAGTGATGATCGACATCGGCCGCAGAGCTAGCCCATGTCTGATGGTGCCAGCGTGTCGCTTCGTCCTGCGACAAACACAGCGCTTCACGGTGCTCGAGCGGCTGGAGGTCGCCGTCGCAAGACGAGAAGCCCTATTTGCAAAAAGAATGGACGAGGCGGCAGCCACAGCCCGCCGCGCGTTGGCAGCCTGCGTGCCAGCGAAACGCTTCCCTCCGTCGCCCGTCGTCGTCGCGGCGCTCGCACGAGATGCACTCTCTCCGCGCCGCGCGATCGTCGGCGTCGTCGACGGCGCGCTCCCGGCGGACGCGTGCGCGCGGCTGCGAGAGGCCTGCCTCCGACGGTCGGGCCTCGAGCGCCACGACCCGCGCGTCCGGGGCAGCGTCCACGCAACGAGGCGAAGGAGATCCAACCGCTCGCTAGGTCCGAGGCGACCGCGTCGATTTCCTACCGTTGTTCCGCAGAACGACGCCCGAGTTCGAGCCGGCGCGGAGGCTCCTGACGGGCGTCGCGGCCGCGCTCGCGCCCGGCCTGCTCGTGCCGCCCGCCGCGCAGCTCGCCATCTACGAAGACGGCGCGGGCTACCGCGCGCACCGCGACAACGGCCCGGAGCGCGGCGCGCCGGGCGAGAACTATCGCGAGTTGACCGCGATCCTCTACCTCGACGCGCGGCCGACCTCGGGCCGCGGCGGCGCGCTGCGGTGCCACCTCGAACGAGCCGTCGACGTCGA